AGGGCTATAACGGCATCCTTTTCTCAATTGAACGGCTTCAACGGAAAACGTTGACTAATTGGATATCCGCCATTTTGAATCGCCATTTTGACCTACTTAACGCCATTTTCATGTAGGCCTGCATGCTGGACTAAATAATAATTATTTGCCGTTAGAATTGATTTCAACTAGCCTTCTTTTTTAAAAATCAGGACCAAACTGTTAAGGAAAGGTGATACAAACAAACTTTTGTCACAAATATCGGAAAAACATAGAATCGTGTTTCAATGAGTAAATTGAGTAAGTTCTATCGCGTAGTTTTTATTTTTTTATTTAAAGTTTCACAAAAATGGAATATTAAATCAAAAATATTTTTAAAGATTAATAAGAATGGCTACAGAAATCACCCCTTCTATTGTTATTGTGATTTAAATTCGAAACACGTGGTTTAAGTTGACCTATTCAAAAGTTATAGGGTAGAATGGGTTTTATAAATAATATTGGCAGTAAAAAGGAAGTTGCTATAGTCTGTTTCTTTCGAAATCAAGTCCTGTGAATAATGGGTTTCCATGCCTTTTTGAAAGACTTTCATGATTTTCAACAGGATGGCTAAAGGGCGGGGGGGGGGGATATACAATATATCTTATCATAATTTACGGCAAAAATATATTAAAATAGCTTCAAAGTATAGACTTACTTATTTCGTGCTAAAGATATCCTCATACGTATCGATATAAACACCATTCAGTCAAAATCACAACAAATGTGACACGTACTTTTTGGGGGACAGTAAATGGGCTTTGACTGACCACATGTTTATGGTAACTTCAAATGCCGCGCTGGAAAACAATCATTCAATACCATTGTTCAGTGTATCGGGGTATTGTTGGATTCTGTTTTTTATATGCAAAGTAGTATTGATTTCGTTCATATCAAACATCCAATCGACGAAGGATATGGTAATCAATTTGTGAAATTTTTACCACCGTCGATCAACAAAAAGACTTTCTATTATTGGAATGAAAGTATGAAATATGTCACATGCGTTTTCGTTCTAAACTAAAAAAAATATCTTTAATATAATGTAGTTTGTGTCAAGTTCAGAACACCAGCGCTTCAAGGATATAGAAAACGAACATCATTTCTTATGTATTTGAATGGACAAAACATTTTTTTTTACATAACTGTACTCGTGATCACGTGTTTTGGCCATGGGGTCCACCTGGCAATTGTATTCACCGAAAGTACAACAAAGGCATTAATACAGACGCAAAGCGCTTTGCAGCATGACTTTGAGAAACCTAGACTTCAACCAATTATTTAATAAATGAATTGTTTGTCATTGTGAGCATGAAAATAATAGAATCATAAAGAAAAATGATTTTCATATGCAAAATGGATGGAATGATGGTCTTTGAAATTGTGTTTTTCCGATCGCCATAAGATTTTCTTCTTCTTTTATTCTTAGGTAATATTCCTGTAGTATTCGTAGTAACCCATAAAGCAATTCTCATTCAGCTGATTTGTCAGTTCAGGTCATGTTGGTGCCTCCATTGCTAATCTGACGCCAAAAAATATAGTCCCGGGTTCCAGCAGAAATATTTGTCCAAAAAGAAATTTTAATTCCCGACCGCTCAAAAAATTGTATCATAGGAAATGCTTATTAAAGTTTGAATGAATTCAAAAGAGATCGATTGAAGTACATTTCTAGAGATATTGTAGGGTGGAGAAAAAACTGAAACGCAACATAACTTTTCTGTTTGCCATGTCTCCACGCGCTAGTCACTTCCTATCCACATTTCCGTAAAAAAAATTACCATATCACGCTGTTGTCTCGCGTACTCTCTTCAGAGCCACTGCCAGAGCTACTCTGAAGTCATCGGGTTTTTAATTTGCATAACACGGAAAAATAAAAGGCTTCGAACACGTAGGGATGGAAATGTAGAAATTTGAACATCAGAGAAGGTTTACCATTTCTTGATTTTATTTTTGAAAATTTTTAATTGCATCATTTGCAACAAAAATATGCCCAGAAATAAATACAAATCCAATCATCCATTTTTGCTTGTATCATCTGTCCTTTAAACATCTATAAAATAAATTCAGTTAAACATTATTAACTGGAAAAATCAGCTTTAATTAAATATTTATTACAAGATACGCATCTTTTGGTATATTATATTTTATTATATGACGCCAAATACGAAAGATATGGACACTGTGATTTTACTTTTACAGATTTAAGTGTAAATTTTACGAATTAAATCTAAAAATTTACACTTTAATCTGTAAAGTTAACAGATTAAAGTTTAAAAATAACAGATTAAAATGTGGAAAATGAAAAAAACCAAAGTGTTTAAGTGCCACTAAGACGTTATTTGAAAAAAATCAGAATAACTTTGTGAAGGATCAATGACAAGGTAAGTAAATTTACGGGTTCCATTTTTATTGAAAAAGCAGCTGTCAATGATGGATATGGAGAACGAATAGTATTCAATATCAAAAGCCCATAAAACAATATATAATAGGAGCAGAGCAAACACGGACCTCCACAACATCAGAGTTTGGATCAGGTGCGATGGAGAAGTGAGCATCCCCATTTGACCGGTCACAACCGCCGTGTGCTCCTTGTCATGTTAGGGAAATAACGGGAAATTCAATCGTTAATTCAATGTATAAAAATGGACTAACACTTAGTAATCAATAAAAAACGTCTGTCAGCATTTGACTTGAAGATAAATTATATTTGAAAATCCTGGAATTTAATTTATCATGGGGAATGTTTGTGTAAAAAGTTGAAAAGTCTTGAGTTTTTAAGTTTTTGAATTTGGTAAAATCTTGTGATTTCAGATTGTCTAAAAGTTCCTTGGAATTTTTAAATACCCGCATCTGATGTACATCACTTTTGGATTATATTAATGCACAGTACTATTGAAGTTGCTCCTTGTAAGCCAATGAAGAAACCTTGGTTGATCTTCAAAGTTTATTTAATAAAATCCCAATCGACAATTTCACCGTGATCGTATAGGTTTAGAAGTATTCGTTTCTGAAATATGATCAGAACAGACCAATTAACGTTTTATATAAATGTTCTGAGGATCCGTCAAAAAAAACAGAAAGAGCTGAAGACTGAACTCCTAATAAATAAATAAACAAAAGTCCAAAAGAATGATTCCCAAAAAAATAGAATAAGATGCAGAAAGAGAATTGATAATTTTCGAATATTAGAATAAGAATGGGAATAAAAACGGGAAGGAGGACGGCATTGAGAACGGGAATGAGAACGGGAATGCTCTTTTCCGACCAAAACAGGGTATTTTGTGCTCAGTGGGTATTCATGATCCCGGATATAAAACTGCATTTCATTGGCTGTCCCACCACTACATACCACCAACGCTTTGTCCGTAGGTCTGTCCGTTGACCTATGAACCCCAATATGGCACCACCCTCAAATGCAGGTAAACATCATTACTAATATATATGGGCTCAGTCCCCATCACCACACCACAGGCGTTCTAGCCCTAAGCTCTTCAAAGTTCCAAATTTTATTGCTCTCGGTCAAAAATCTTGATAATACGATTGTATGTATTTCCGTTCAAATTTTATTACTTACTATCGATGGGCTTGATTGTCTATTCGGATCAATTTCATTACAAAAAGATTTAACAAATTATAGTGCATTTCAACAATAACAATATCCAATTTGTTTTAACAAGATAATAATAGTTCACAAAATTAAAGTCCTTCCAATTATAAAGTCAACGAATTTGAGTCATTAATAATATACATTCTGATTTAATAAACCTTTACATCATTTTATTTTCACTACTAATAACTAAAAATGATTATCATATTAATATTGTCTAAGTTTAAAATGTTCAAACAATATGTCTGTGCTAAACCCTATAGGTTTACATCCTTCAATACTGTCAATATCTTAGTGAGGTGTAAAGAAAGATGCTTAGTTAAACATTTATTGGAACCCGCTATGTATCTTTGTTTGTAAGGATTCCTATGAAGTTTCGGAATCCAATATATATATATATATATATATATATATATATATATATATGGTAGTTCACATTCATTTTGGTTCTTTGGGATATTTAAAAAAATGAGGAAGTAACGAACGGTATTTGAGCTAAAAATTCATACACAAAATATACACAAATCAATCAGGGACCTCGAAACCACCAGATTTCGGATAATGTGCCATGGAAAAGTGAGCATCTCCTTCCGACCGGTCACAGCTGCTGTGTGCTCCTTGTCATGATCAGGAATTAACAACAAAAAAAACGTACACAACTGAGAGTAGAAATATTGGCCTAACAATTATTTTGAACAAACTTCAGCATATTTGAATTAATGATTAATTGTATTTGCTGACAAGGGCATTGTATCGGTCACAGCACTTACAATATTTTTTAATTTAAATGGGACTGTTGATATTCTTGCTTCATCATGTTGTTTGTCAATATCATACCTAATTTAAGAAACTATTTATACGTAAAGCAAGCTCTCACTTATCGAATCAAATTAGATATGTGAACCCCGTATGCATGTGATGAAGGTATATTGCTGCGTAAGTAATGAAAATAGACGATTCAAAACGTTTAAATCACCAAGATTTTCATAAAGCTTTGTTGTTAAATAACCATCAACTCCAATTTTGTATTCTGTAATGGACTTTTGAGCATGTATACCTGCAGTTCGTTATCTCCATGTATTTTAATACAGTAGTATAAGAGGAGTTGCAGAAAAATAGACGGGTATCACAAATCTAGAAAAGCTAGACGGACATACATTCAGATCTTCAAACTACTTTTCAATTTCAAGCTGGGGTATTAATGTCTATAAATTGGTTGCTTGTTGTAGACTATACTTTAAAAATGTACGTTTTTCTATCTAATTTCTTTTTGTGATTTCAGAACATGGAGAAGTTGTTAAAGCGGATTAGATATGGACGTTGGCGGGAAATGACCATTAATCTTATTTTAATGGCCTGTGCAACGTACTGGTTTGTTTTCCTTTATAAATTTGCCTTCTATTGCAAAACAGATTCCCCGTTGCTTGGTACGTATTCCCAGTAAGCGCGGTACGCGCGTTCAATTTTAAAGTAATTAGATATACAGAATCCAGGAATATCTTTTTTATTTTTTTTATTTCATTTTTTTTTTTTATTTTTATTAGGGCTTTTCGACTTTTGTCGAAAAGACCTATTGTTTTCGTCTTTTTAGGGCTTTTCGCTTTCAGGCGAAAAGCCCTATTGTTTTCGTGTTGTTTCATTATTATTGTACCTAACACTTTTTGATCACTGATTTAAAGAACATCATTGGAGATATATAATTTATAACAATACCATTTCTGGCAATTTATTTACTAAAAAACAAAACCATAGCTTTAATTCTCAAAAGTTAAAAGAATTCACGAAGTCCAAACTCAATGATGAAAATGTGTTTAGCCTACTTCCTATAAGTCTGGACGATGTCTTAACAATGCTACGTTCACTTGACATTAATAAATCAGCAGATGTAGATTTCATTGGTCCTCGTCTCTTAAAACTTTCTGCAAATGTAATTTTTAAACCCTTAACTCATCTCATTAATACTAGCATTACTAATGGCATCTTTCCTTCCCAGCTGAAACATGCTAAAGTCACCCCCATATATAAGAAGGGCGATAAAAGTGATCCCAGTAACTACCGCCCAATATCTATTTTACCAACTTTGTCAAAAATTTTTGAAAAGCATATTGCAAATCAAGTACGTGAATTTACAAGAGCCTTTGACCTCATTATGAGCTCACAGTCTGGTTTTAGGGAATTCCACTCTTGCCAAACAGCACTAACCAAACTTACCGATAACTGGTTGCATGCAATGGATCAAGGGAATTTAATTGGCATAGCTTTTCTAGATTTTAGTAAGGCGTTTGATTTAGTCAGTCATGATATCTAAATAGAGAAATTACGCCATTATAATTTTGATTCACTTGCAATTAAGTGGTTTCAGTCTTATTTAAACGAAAGGACCCAAAGTGTTAAAATTGGCGCATGTTCTTCCGATATCTTACCTATCACAGCAGGGGTACCACAGGGATCCATTTTAGGTCCACTCTTATTTTTATTGTATATAAATGATCTTCCTTTATGTGTAAATTACTCTTATATTGATATGTTTGCAGACGATGCAACTCTGCATTTACCTAACAACAATGTACATAATATTGAAACACATTTAAATTCTGATTTATGTGAAATTGAAAACTGGTGTTTACAGAATCAGATGATACTGAACACAGACAAATCAAAATGTATGCTTATGTGTACCCAAAAAAAGAGATCACGATTAAATAACCCAGTACTTGATGCAAAAATTTCTGGCAAAAACTTGGAAAACGTTGAAGTTGAAAAACTCCTACAGTGGCTGGAACGTTATTGTTGACAAACCAATCGTGTAGAATCGTTCGTGTATCGTGAGCGATCGTTCGTGTAACGTGAAAGATCGTTCGTGTATCAGACTCAATCGTTTGGGTTTTTAATCGCGCGAGATCGTGCGTTTAGAATCGTGTAAATTTCGTTTTGTAAGTTTTTTATCGGAATGTTACATGTAAAATGAGCATTTCCCTTGTTTGTTTTCCTTAATTTATTAATTTAAATCCAAATAAAATGAAAAAGCGTAATTTACATATTAGAATGCAGAACGAACTAATTATCGCCCGTAAACAAGCAATAAAGTAAGTCGTACAATATTAAGTTCTCGTCAAATAGCACGATCAATATTGTGATAAACCGTACTTCGATCTTAATAGCCTTTATGAAAGATCTTATTTTAATTATTATTTGCTTCTTATTATGGTCAGAATAATCTTACAATAAATTCATTGAAAATAAATAATTTTTTTTTACAAAGAAATAAACATTTCTCAATGCCTACTTAACTAGTTAGTCGACAAATATACATGGACACGGCATGATTTTCGGAAGTTTTCATTATCTGTGTTTATCTCTTTAGCCTATTTGTAATTAATTAATTTTAAATTTCTGCAAATGAAAAAGTTGAATAATTGGCAAGTTTATCAGACATTGAATCAATGGAAACATACGGATAAAATTTGTAATTATAATTTAAGTCATTCCATGCTGACATTTTTTTCAATCGTATTCCCCTTTCTGCATATCATGATATCCAATTCAATCAAATTATACGACCCACATACATGTACATTGTCTAATAGAACGAACAAAATCCGTTTTTTTTTAATCGGAGAATTACCTTAGAAATAATTATTTTTAATCTAAAATATTAAGTCTTTCATATATTTAGTTACAGAAATATCATTTTCCGTTTTTTCTACTACGTCTATGAAATAATATTGATAATTCTTTGAAATCTTAAATAAGTCATAAAGCCGTATTTCGTTTTGAAAATATTGATTCCTAAATAATTTGTACTATTTTGAGTGAAGAATCGTGCGTTTGCGTTAACAATCGTGTAAGATCGTGTCACGTGTAGAATCGTGAACGTGAAAGATCGTTCGTGTAACAGGTTTAATCGTGCGTTAATCGTGCGGAATCGTTCGTGTAACGTGATCGTTCGTGTAAATTGTCAACAATAACGTTCCAGCCACTGTAGGTATTCAGATAGATCAATCTCTTCAGTATAATTGTCATGTTGATACAGTTTGTAAATCATTAAGATACAAGTTATTTACGCTCCGTAAAATTAAGAAATTTCTTCCATTAAGTACAAGAAAACTCTTCTATAATGCATACATTTTGCCTTCAATAAACTATTGTCTTACATTCTGGGGTAATACGTCCAAATCTAACATCGAGAGAATTCATAAACTTCAAAAACGTGCTGCTAGAATTATTCTTGATGCAGCACCTGACCATTCATCTAAGCCTTTGTTTGAAAAACTAGGATGGTTAAATGTTTTTGAGTTAGTTACGTTTCATAAATGTATTTTATTGTATAAAACTTTTTGTGGTATGAGCCCAGAATATATCCAAGATCTTTTTATTTTTCACAGTTCCGATTCCTACTCATTGCGTTCAGAATTGAATTATAATCTTCGATTACCAAAGCATCGAACAATCCTATTTACAAACTCTTTACAATATTCAGGTGTACATTTATGGAATAATCTACCATTACATGTTAAATTATCACCATCTTTGCCTGTTTTTAGAAAGAATTTGGAAAAAGTTATAATCAGCCAACGTCTGTAATTTTCATTATTATAGATGTCCTTGTTATTGTTATTACTACGTCTTTAAATTCTGTATATTGACTTATTTATTGTCCTATATTTCCATTAGTTTAATTTGTACATTATATATACATCCGATTATGAAGATATAAAATGAGCTTATCATTGTTCATGTACTGTGTATATATGTTTGATTGTACCATTTTATGTATATTGTTTGAATTGTAGAAGGCCCCGGGGAAGAATAGTACTTTGTACTAATCGGGTTACCTTCTTTAAATAAAGCATTATTATTATTATTATTATTATTATTATTATTATTATCATTATACAGCATATCTAAAAGTCTCCCGTAAGTAAGGTTTTGTACTTCCAGAAACGCCACTTCCGGTATTTATAAGTCAGAAACTAAATTTTCTTTAAAGCCTAATACTTTCCTTATTGTACATGCAATTTGGTTCAAAATTTAGGAATATATTCCTCAAAGTATTATCTACAAAAAAGTCATCGTTAGTGTTTTTGCACCTATGGTACATTTTTGTGTTATAAGGCTCAAAAGTTAAGAAAAGGGGGAATTGAAATTTAAAATTTTGAAAACGATGTAGGAAAGTTATTTTGAAGGTTATATATTGTTTATCAAAGTAATTAAAGGCTGTAATGTAAGTTTCATGTCCATCAGAGCAGAACTTCCGGTTCTATAAGGCTTTGAAATTGTCTATGGGAGTTTCTATAGTAAAAAAAATTCATTCATGTTCCATTATCTCAAAAGGGAAGCAAACAATTCTTGTAATATTTACAGGGAATAATTGATTTAGAATTGTCTTCAGGTGAAAAGGTTATGAAAACCAAATCCCCTACAATAAGGGATTTATAGGGATCAACTCTAAAAATCGTCTTTTCCCTGTAACTTTTTTATTTTTCAACCAATCTTCAAACTGATTTCAGTTTTGAGTTAAACATAAGAAGGACAATTTAAAAATTATGGTCCGTGGGGTCACTTTTTAACCCCTTATAGGAGTTTAAGAGATCTGAAATATCGTATTTTTAAGTATTTTCAAAAATAACTGTGCAAGAGTTGTCTCCCTTTGTCAACCTGTTTGGAGTCTAATATGCTCTCTATGTTTCAATTTCGGTATGCATATGAAGTGTACTTCCGGTTTTATAAGTACTTTAAACTTGTCTATGGAGATTTCTATGTTAAATTATAAATCATTCAATGTCCATTATCTCAAAAGGGAAGCAAGCAATTTTTGTGATATTTCACATGAATAATAACTCTAGTATTTTCTTCCGGTGGATAGGTCATGAAACAAGGTTCCTTCAGATAAAACGGAGTTTAGGGGTCAGTACAGAAAAACCGTTTTTGCCTCTAACTTTTTTATTCGTCAACCAATTAACAAACTTATTTCAGTTTTGAGTTGAGCATAAGAAGGGCAATTTAAAAATTATGGTCCGTGGGGTCACGTTTTGACCCATGGGTGTTTTAGAGACCTGATACTTTGTATTTTTAAGTAATTTCAAAAATAATTGCGTAAGAATTACCTTTCTTTGTCTATCTGTTTGGAGTCTAATATGCTCTCTATCTTTCAATTTTGGTATGCATATGAAGTGTACTTCCGATTTTATAAGTACCTTAAATTTGTCTATGGAAATTTCTATGTTAAATAATAAATCATTCAATGTCCATTATCTCAAAAGGGAAGCAAGCAATTTTTGTGATATTTTAAATGAATAATAACTCTAGTATTGTCTTCCGGTGGATAGGTCAAGAAACAAGGTTCCTTCCGATAAAAGGGATTTTAGGGGTCAGTACAGAAAAACCGTTTTTTGCCTGTAACTTTTTTATTTGTCCACCAATCTTC